CCGTCTTTTTTTCTGCTTATACTGTACCGGATTCGTCCGGGCGGACGGGTTGCATACTCGCACGGGGCCGTAAGCGCCATGGAGAGCGACGATACGCAAGCCCGCCGCGCCCGCCTGAATCCGGTACAGTACGCAGAAAAAGAGACGGCGCGGATCACCCACCCTGTATTGTACACAGGCCCGTGCGGGTCCAGAGGTGTGAGTACAAGGTGCTCTTTAGCGCAATGTCATTCAAAAGGCTTCTCGCCTGGGTGAACTTGGAGGTGTCTGCGCAGACTGCTACCATGTCTAAATGTCTTGTTGCAGATTATACACTTAAAAGGCCTCCCTCCTGTGTGTGTCTCGAGGTGTGTGCCCAAGCTGCTCTTTTGAGAAAATTTCTTGTCACATAATGTACACTCGAAGGGCTTCTCTCCTGTGTGGGTCCGGCGGTGTGTTCCCAAGTGGACCTTTTTAGCAAATTTCTTGTCACATAATGTACACTCAAAGGGCTTCTCTCCTGTGTGTGTCTGGAGGTGTGTGCCCAAGTGGACTTTCTGTAAAAATTTCTTGTCGCAGAATGTACACTCGAAGGGCTTCTCTCCTGTGTGGGTCCGGAGGTGTGTTCCCAAGTAGACCTTTCTAGCAAATTTCTTGTCGCAGAATGTACACTCGAAGGGCCTCTCTCCCGTGTGGGTCCGGAGGTGTTGGCCCAAACTGACCTTTTGAGAAAATTTCATGTCGCAGAATGTACACTCAAAGGGTTTCTCTCCTGTGTGGGTCCGGAGGTGTGGGCCCAAGTTGGCCTTTTGAGAAAATTTCTTGCCGCAGAATGTACACTCGAATGGCTTCTCTCCTGTGTGGGTTCTTATATGATTCTCACGGTCCCTCTCCCTCTTAGAGGCAAACTCCTTGTTGCACAGGTCACATCGGTATGCCATAGTGGTAAGACCCGGGAACTAGAAATAAAAAGCATGAAAAGGTAAACATGTGTTCTTGACCTGTGCTCAACTTCAACCTGAAACTGGGTTGCGAATCGGAAATACCGAGCGTGAACGCTGATTACCTGTTCGCCTTTTCGGTCGCCACAGGTCCGTCGTTGGTGCGCGTACCGCACGTACTCGATGCTCCCGGCTGCAACTAGGTAGGCGTTGAACACTTGATTAGGCGCTGGAGTACTGTAGTCACCCTGGCGGACACACTGCCCAGGACGCCGGAGAGGTCTAGGTCACCGATCAACGCTCCGACGGCAAGCACGGACACAGTTGGACTGATGCAGTGCGGGCTGCGGGCGGACGACCGTCGGGGTCCTGGTCCTGGTCCTCGTCCGTCCATCGGGGTCGTCTCCCCCACGTGGTCTCCCCGCCCGGGGCGCGGGGCCGCCCCATCCGTCCCCTCACTGGGGATCCCCGGAAAGGAAAACACCGGCATGCCGGCATGCCCAACACCGGGCCGCCACCGCCGCCGCCGCCGCCGTCGCCACAACCGAACGACTTGTGTCCCTGCTAGAGGAGAAAGCGGGAAGGGGGGCACCTTTCCCTCTGGTAGAGAAGAGACAATCTTGAGAACCCTCTAAAAAAAAAAAATAGCGGGCAGGGCTAAGCCACAAAGACAGTCCCTCCAAGCCACAAAGCTCCCCCCTCAGTTTTAAGACAATCCCCAAGACTGCCTCTACCAGAAGGAGAAAACGTGCATCCCCCTCGCTTTTTTCGTACAACTCAAGTAGCCACCTAATATAGTCTACGCCGTCTGGCCCACAGCGCTGTTTGAGGACTGTCTAAAAAGGGGAGGGTAAGGAATTTTCATTTTTCAAATTATTTCCCTTTTCCTCTCTGAAAGGTATAACTCGCCGAGTCTGTGGCTCCTCTTGTGCTGCTCTTCCGCTCACCACGTTTGCACACAAAGTCGTATAAAAAGTTTCCAATCTAGAAATTGTAGAGAGGGGATTGCGCAATCGTTCCATAAAAGTATCATTCAAGTTCATTTCTTCTTCTTCTCTTTGCCAGCCCAGGTGGCGGTGGTGGTGGTGGGTGCGCCGTCAGCTGATGTTTGATGTGCGAATCAAAAGGCTGGAGCATTAGATGTCACTTGATAGAGCAGCGGGGCGA